TGTTCAAGAAGAAAAGGAAAGGAATCTTGGAAATCCTTCACACCTTTAAGTAGAGCTAGGATGTTGCCCTCTATTTTTGATACAAGGAAGGGGTTTTCAAGAAGTTCTTGCGAATCCTCAAAGCACTTTCCAATTTTTGTTCTAGCTTCTGCGGCTGCTGCACCATCCTATCTGTGCATTCTTCCCCACAACATCCAAGTCAATAAGACATCACATGAAAAATGCTGTATCATCATGCTATGTAATCAGTTTACTTTATGATTTTACTAAGGCCAATTATTATCATAGCCACATCATGCTTTTCCTTCAGTTAACTTAATTTAGTGTACATACCTGGCTCCCTTCCTCATTTTATGCTCACAAATAACATTATGTGACATAGCTAAGTTGAGAGAGTAACTTTGCCAAAGGTCACCCAGTAGCATTCATGATCAAGTGGAGACCTGAATCTGGATCCCCACAATTGAATTCTTTAATCTTTATATGATATTCTTAAATAATCATTGTCAATTACACAGTGAGTCAATTTGCCCTCAGTGAACTGGGAGAAAGGAATGGGAATACATCTTCATTGCCAACATAACTAATCTGCCACTCCCTGGTTTGCCATGCTGCACTACAGCAGTTTCCCTGCTCACATTCTCAACATACCAAAACAGGAAACATCAGCCCTGCCATCACAGAAAAGGAGAGAAGCACTTCTTCAATTCTTCACAGGAAAGATGAGCAATCAAACTCAAACAACTCTTCGAAAATGAGTCTGGCTTCCTCAGCATTCTTGTCACCCTGTAATCATTTATACCTTTTCCAGACTGCAAAAAAACCACCAAGATGTATGTGGCTACATTTGAGGGCAATAAATGCTACGAATGCTGCAGTTCAACATAATTCTACCTTTTCATACTCTACAACTAGCCCCTACTTTAACAGAATCTATCTGTAGTTAAACCTTAAGAACTCTAATTTAAATCAATTTCTTGATTAACATAAGTTCTCGAATATTAAGAAATGTTCACGTTTCTATACTATTGTAAAGGCTCTTTCATTGATCTGCATAGTAAACATATATGCCTAAATCTTATCACTAGCTCCCAACTAAAGTAGACCCACTGACTCAATTGCTGTAAGTCAACACATATAAAACCCACTGATCTGATAAATCTTTTCCACTTGTGAAGAACAATGTATTAGGTGCAACGATTTTCAGCCCAGTTTCACATATTCTTTTCCATATGTTCCAAAAACACAAAGCAGCTATCAGAAAAAAATCTGCACTTTACCCTCACAAGAGCTTCTCCCAGCCAAGTCTTATAGTGGCAACTTCCTCAACTACTTTGATAAATGTGTCCTGATAAGTTATGCTCCTTATTTAAGCAGGGATTGTCCAAACAAATGTGTGTGTCATATTAAAGATATATTAACAATGCAAACGGAAACTTTCTTCTTTCAATGAGTACTGGCAGTGTTGTGGATTTCCTTGCAAATTAGCGTTCCTAGTCACACCCACAAATTACTTTTTTACATGTCATGAAAATATAAAAGAAGATTAAACATTTAGCCAGCAGGACTCTCATAAGAACCATAAGCAACTATATAACTTATGAAAAGCAGACCTGAAAAGTTAATAAAATAAGATTGGCAGTGGGCAAGTTGAAAGTCAACAGATGCCGTCTAAAGAAGTTATAACTATGAGCAACTGCCGTGAGGAACCACTAGTATTTATCCCCAGAAATTATGGAGAGACAACACCTCTAAGGTACATGTACTCATAGCAAGACAAAATCTTAACAGGTAAGTCCTGAGGCTTCACAGGTAAACGTCAGTGGTAGAAAACAGAGAGAATAGGAAAGCTGCTGGTGTAGTTTTCACAATGCCAAGTAAATACTATACTATGTGAAACATCCTTCAGTAACTCATTAAGAAATTACTACTGGAGGGTTTAATAAGCTTCTTTTAGGCTAGGAATGTGACACCCAGAAAAATAAGGCATAGGAGAAGGAATTGATTGATTGAGATCCAAATGTACAGTCAGACCTCCTGAGACAGCTGCCTGTTTTCAGTAGAAACTAATTCTATTCAATCAACTGTCATGTTGTTTACATAGATATTTTAACTACAACAAACAGATCCATCCACCATCCCCAGTAAAAAGTGTGAAACAGCCCAGACACACCTACAGGCTACACTGGAAGTTACTTCTAATGACCACAGCCCAAACAGGGTTTCCTGCAAAAGAGGCAACAAGGTTTCCAATTACAAGAAAGATAGCAAGAAATGTGTTTCTTCCAGCATGGAGGGTGGGGATGAGAGGCTGGCTGCAGACCTGCTTGGCTGGGGAGTTGAACTCACTTCTGACATTTTATTTAGGGTCAGTGGTTCTCAACCTGTGGGTGCCCAGATGTTTTGGCCTACAACTCCCAGAAATCCCAGCCAGTTTATCAGCTGTTATGATTTCTGGGACTTGAGGGCCAAAACATCTGGGGACCCAAGGTTGAGAACCACTGATTTTGGCAATTCCCCACCATTCCCCGCTTATGGGACTAAGGCAGCTAACAGCAGTATAAAATATAACAACAGAAACATTTTAAAAAGTACATATTAAAAACCAAATATTTGACAGTGCTGATAAACATAAAACCTGAACATTTAAAAAAGCATCCAAAAATCAGGCATAATGGGGAGGAAGTTGACTTGTCAGTGAAACACTAAAACCAAAGCAAGATTTTGGGTGCATTTCCACAGTAGAATTAATGCCATTTGACACCACTTCAACTGCAATGGGCCAGTGCTATCACATCCTGGAAGTTGTTGGGTGCATCATGAGGATGATTGTCATAGATGCAGGCAAAACGTCAGGAGATGGTAAACTGGCTGGGGTTTCTGGGAGTTGGAGGTCAAAACACCTAGGGACCCACAGGTTGAGAACCACTGCGTCTAGCTCAATGGGCAGCTAAACCAGGAAATCCCAACTGGATGGCCCCCCACGAGGGTCTTCCTCCAGGGGCAAACCAAGAATGGCCAAATTGGAAGTCCCTGAACAGACTCAGAAGTGGAGTGGGCAGATCAAAAGACAACCTAGCAAAATGGCACTACCTAAAAGAATTCCACACCTTGTGTGACTGTGGAGCAGAACAGACAACTCCACATCTTGTCCACTATGCGCTGCCTCATGAACAGAGGAAGAATTGTTGGAGGCTACTGACAATACCATTGCTTTTTTAAAAAGAAAGACTTAAAAACCTGGCTCTTCCGTTGTGCTTTTGGGGATTGACCACTCAATCCATCTGGTTGTCTTAGCTTACAGCTGCCCTCAGAATAAAGCATCTTCCCACCCCTAAAATGGCTAAATCCCATGGTTCCTCCCTGTTGGGCTCCTTTCCTACCAATGCATTTTTATCCCTATCTCACCCAGGGCTTTAACCTTTTGACATTTTATCTCATACATTTGGCCCGCCCTCTGTGTCTGGTTTTACCATGCTGTTTTATAGTGTTGATTTTGTTATTTTATATCTTCTTATGATGCATTTTGTTATTGTGTGTTTATTATGTTGTATTATTTTGGGCTTGGCCTCATGTTAGCCACCCCGAGTCCCCTTTGGGGAGATGGTGGCGTGTTATAAATGAAGTGTATTATTACTATTATTATTACTATTATTATTACTACTATTATTATTGCTGTTGCCCGTTTTTGGTCAAAAGACATTTAGCCGCCTGCGCTCCTTCTATTTTTATCAGTTTTATACTTATTTAGGCGATGCTTTTGATACGAAATAAATAAAGCTCAATGCTATGTAATAATGGGAGCCGTAGTTTTCCCAAGTCTTTAGCCTTCTCTTCCAAAGAGTGCTGCGGCCTCGGCAAAGTATAACTCCCAGGATTTCATAGCATTCAGCCATGGCTGTTACAAGTGCTGTCAAACTGCATTAATTCTACAGTGTAGGTGCCCCGCCCCCTTTCCAGTTTGGTGGGGCACTGGTACTGTTTGGCTACAGATGACAGAAACTACAATTCCCTTGATTCCATAGTACTGAGCAGTGGCAGCTAAAGTGGCATCAACTTGCACTGATTTTACACCAGGCATGGACCAAGTTGGGCCCTCAATCCAGGAGTTTTGGACTTGCAGCTGAGGATGCCTGCCATAGATGTGGGCGAAACGTCAGAAGAGAATGCTTCTGGAACATGGCCATACAGCCCGGAAAACTCACAACAACACAGTGATTCCAGCCATGAAAGCCTTCGACAAGACAGTAGTAGGCTGTTAGGAATTGTGGGAGCTCAAGTCGAAAAATCCCGGAGGGCCAAAGTTTGCTCATGCTTTTGCTAATCTATCTGGAGAATGCTGGATTGGGAAAAGCAAATTTACACCATTTTTCTGTTTGTGGGAGATCTCTCTTGCAGAAAGGAGAATAGACTTTGCAAACATAGTTGCTTCTATGACTTCATCACACCAGACAATGAATCCACTTTAAATCTGGTTTTTGCCTCCTGCAGAATTCTGGGGTTTGTAGTTCAGTTAAAGGCTCTTCTCTAAACTACAAACCCCAGAATTCTGCAGGAGGCAGCAACCGGATTTATAGTGGATTCATACTCTAATGCAGGCATGGGCAAACTTGGGTCCTCCAGGTGTTTTGGACATCAACTCCCACAATTCCTAGCAGCCTCAGACCCTTTCCTTTTCCCCTTCAGCCGCTTAAGCGGCTGAGGGGGAAAAAGAAGGGGCCTGAGGCTGTTCGGAATGATGGGAGTGGAAGTCCAAAACACCTGGAAGGCCCAAGTTTGCCCAGGCTTGGTGTAGATGCAACTCTGAGTCTTCAGAATAGTTTTCTCCAAAGTTAGAAGTCATTCGTAGCGAGGAACGAATCACAGAACTGGAAGAAACCCAAACATTGGGGGAGGGAGGGATCCAGTCCAACCCCTTTCTGCCACGCCCGCGGGGAGACACCATCCGAGCCCTCCTGACAGATGGCCACGCGGCCTGCGCTTCCGAACCCGGCTCTCACCCAGGCGGGGAGGTCTCCGGTGGCGACGGTGAGCCTGACGGCGCGCTCCTCGTCGTGCAGGAAGGCCAGCGCCCGGCCCAGGCGGGAGGCCTTTCCCCCGCGGTGCCTTTGGACCCAGAAGAGGCCGACCAAGGCGAGCAGGACCCAGCTGAAGCTCAGCCCCAAGTAGCCCAGGACGTAGACGGGGAAGACCAGCGCGAAGCTGCGCGCGAACTGCGACACCAGGCCGGCCAAGTCCACGCTGATCATGGGCTGCGAGGAGGAAGGGGGAGAAGAGGGAGAAGGAGGCGGCGAAGGAGGCTCCGAGTCCCCGCCGGGCCCGGGCCCCGCTCTCGCCTGGGCCCCCGCGCCGCTCATGCTGGCTCCGAGGCCGCTGCTCTCCCGACGACTGAAGCTGAGGCGCTGTCTCCGGAGGGCGGGCACACGGGCAAGGCCGAGGCGGGGCCTCGCATCGCCCGCCCTCGCCGACACTCCCGCCTCACAGTTGCTGAGGGACCACAATAACAACAACTTCTACTACTACTTCCGCCGCCACTTCCGCTTTGTCTCATTCCCCCCACCCCCCTTCTAAGAAATGGTTCGTGCCTCCTGCGTATTTGGAGTTGGAGGACCGAACCATTCCTTATGGAACCGGGGGGGGGGTCAGAGTAAATAACACTTATTATTATCCCCCCCTTATAAGAAATGGTTCGCGCCTCCTGCGTATTTGGAGCTGTAGGACCGAACAATTCCTTATGGAACTTGGGGGGGGGGGGTTCAAAGTAAATAACATTTATTATTATGGGTTGCTGTGAGTTTTCCGGGCTATGTGGCCGTGTTCCAGAAGCATTCTCTCCTGACGTTTCGCTCACATCTATGGCAGGCATCGTCAGAGGGTGAGGGGTCTGTTGGAAACCTTAAACGAGATTTATGTATCTGTGGAATGTCCAGGGTGGGAGAAAAAACTCTCCAGGCCATCAAATGCTAATCAAGATGGTCAGTTGAAACATTCCCACCTGGCTCCAACAGGCAAGAGTTCTTTGTCCCACCCTGGTCGTTCCACAGATATATAAACCCATTTTCCTAGTTCAAACAGACCTCACTACCTCTGAGGATGCTTGCCATAGATGCAGGCGGAACGTCAGGAGAGAATGCCTCTAGATTCTAGTACATGGCCATATAGCCCGAAAAAACCTACAACAGCCCAGAAAAAACTCTTTGTCTTCTTGAGGCAGGTGTGAATGTTGCAGCTGGCCACCTTCATTAGCATTGAATAGCCTTGCAGCTTCAAAGCCTGGGTGCTTCCTGCTTGTGGGAATCCTTTGTTGGGAGGTGTTAGCTGGTCCTGATTGTTTCCTATCTGGAATTCCCTGAGAAAAAACTCTTGTCTGCTTGAGCCACATGTGAATGATTCCTAATCAATCTAAAACACAGGCATGTGCTTTTCATCTTAAGGACAGACAAGCATCCCGAGCTCTGAGGATTATCTGGGAAGAAATCCCATTGGAGCATTGCAGCACACCCAAATACCTGGGTATCACTCTGGACTGTGCCCTGACTTACAAGAAGCACTGCCTGAACATCAAGCAAAAAGTGGGCGCTATAAACAATATCATATGAAAGTTGGCTGGCACAGCCTGGGGATTACAACCAGATACAGTGAAGACATCTGCCCTTGTGCTATGCTACTCTGCTGCTGAGTATGCATGCCCGGTGTGGAACACATCTCACCACACTAAAACAGTGGATGTGGCTCTTAATGAGACATGCCGCATTATCACGGGGTGTCTGCACCCTATACCACTGGAGAAATTACATGTCAGGTGGTATTGCACCATCCGCTGGGGAGTATTTATTTACTTACTACATTTATATACCAACCCTCTCAGCCCAAGGGCGACTCAAAGCGGTTAACAATAGGCAACAATTTGATGCCTGAGTAGTTACAACAAATTAAAACAATCATTAATACTTTAAAATACTAACAGCACTATAAAAATATAAAGATCATACACAGCATTTTAAAAAATTATCAGAGTGTCTCCATCTCAAATCATTGTCCAGTTGCGTCGTCAGCTGTCCATAATATCATATATCTATGCCATATTTGGGAAGGCCAATGAGTAGCAACCAATAGTGAAAGGACCAAGGCAGTGACATCTCCGGCCCACCCCCTGTTTGGGTATCAGCCAGCACACCAAACGGAAAACATAATGTGGGAGGACAGGAAAAGAAATTTAAAGATGGGCGCAAAGCCAACCTTAATAACTGTGGCATAGACACTGAGAACTGAGAAGCCATGGCCCTTGAGCACTCTAGCTGGAGGTCAGCTGTGACCACAGTGCTGTAGAATTTGAAGAGGCACGTATGGAGGGCGAAAGAGAAATGTGCCAAGGGGAAGGTGCGTCAAGGCAAGCCTGACCAGGACCACCTTCCACTTGGAAACCGACACCCTCACTGCGGGAGAACATGCAGGTCAAGAATAGAGCTCCACAGTCACCTACGTATCCACCACCAGGCCACCACACAAGGAGGACAATCTTACTTGGACAAAGAGGGATCACCTAAGTAATTATGTGGGGAGGCTAATGTAACTAATCTACGACACCATAAAACCTTCCAGCAGTGTGCGTAAGAATGTGGAAGTACTCCATCAAGGACTCAATGTCTTACTTACTTAGGCGATCCCTCGTTGGACGAGTAAGATGGTCTTCCATTATGGATTTCCTTGTGGGTCCGTATGTGGCTGTGGAGCCCTATTCTTGCTCTGCATCTTCCGCAGTGAGGGCATTGGTTTCCAGGTGGAAGGCGGTCCCGGTCGGGGTTGGCTTGACGCGCCTTCCTCCTGGCACGTTTCTCTCTTTCACCCCCCACTCGTGCCTCCTCAAATTCTGCAGCACTGCTGGTCACAGCTGACCTCCAGCTGGAGCGCTCAAGGGCCAGGGCTTCCCAGTTCTCAGTGTCTATGCCAGAGTTTTTAAGGTTGGCTTTGAGCCCATCTTTAAATCTCTTTCTGTCCACCAACATTTTGTTTTCCATTCTTGAGTTCGGAGTAGAGCAACTGCTTTGGGAGACGGTGGTCAGGCATCCGGACAACGTGGCCGGCCCAGCGGAGTTGATGTTGGAGGACCATCGCTTCAATGCTGGTGGTCTTTGCTTCTTCCAGCACACTGATGTTTGTCCGCTTGTCTTCCCAGGAGATTTGCAGGATTTTCCGGAGGCAGCGCTGATGGAATCGTTCCAGGAGTTGCATGTGACGTCTGTAGACAGTCCATGTCTCACAGGCATAGAGCAGGGTTGGGAGGACAATAGCTTTATAGACAAGCACCTTGGTCTCCCTACGGATGTCCCGGTCCTCAAACACTCTCTGCTTCATTCTGGAAAATGCTGCACTTGCAGCGCTCAGGCGGTGTTGTATTTCGGCGTCGATGTTGACTTTGGTGGAGAGGTGGCTGCCAAGGTAGCGGAAATGGTCAACATTTTCTAATGTTACACCATTAAGCTGTATCACTGGCATTGGAGAGGGGTTGGCTGGTGCCTGCTGGAAAAGCACCTTGGTTTTTTCAATGTTCAATGACAGGCCGAGCTTCTCGTATGCTTCTGCGAAGGTGTTTAGAGTGGCTTGTAGATCTTCTTCTGAATGCGCACAGACGACATTGTCATCAGCATACTGGAGTTCTATAACAGCTGTTGTTGTAACCTTGGTTTTGGCTTTCAGTCTGCTGAGGTTGAATAACTTGCCATCTGTCCGATAGATTATTTCCACTCCGGTGGGAAGCTTCCCATCAACAAGGTGAAGTATCATAGCGATGAAGATGGAGAATAGAGTTGGGGCAATAACACATCCCTGTTTGACACCGGATTCCACTTTAAATGGGTCACTTTGGGAGCCACTGCTGTCCAAGACTGTTGCCATCATGTCATCATGGAGGAGCCGCAGGATGTTCACAAATTTGCTTGGGCACCCGATTTTGTGGAGGATGTTCCAGAGAGCGCTGCGATTCACTGTGTCGAATGCCTTGGCAAGGTCGATGAATGCCATGTACAGAGGTTGGTTTTGTTCCCTGCATTTTTCTTGGAGCTGTCGTGCAGTGAAGATCATGTCCATGGTTCCTCTGGAGGGACGGAAGCCATTCTGGGATTCTGGGAGGGTGTCTTCTGAGAGGGGTAGAAGGCGGTTTGCAAGGATTCTTGCGAGGATTTTCCCAGCGGAGGTTAGAAGGGAGATACCTCGATAGTTTCCGCAGTCTGTTCTTTCCCCTTTTTTGAAGAGGGTGATGATGGTGGCATCCTTGAAGTCTGCTGGGATTTTCTCGGTCACCCACACTTTTTCTATGAGCTGGTGGAGTTGGTGTGTCAGCTCAGGTCCTCCCTCTTTAAAGATTTCAGCAGGGATCCCATCTGGTCCACTGGCTTTGTTATTCTTCTGTTGGCTGATGGCATTGCTGACTTCTTCCAAACTAGGCAGTGCTGCAAGCTCATCCCTGGTTTGTTGTTGTGGGATTTGTGAGAGGACCTCTTCGGCCACATTGGAGCTGCGGTTCAGGAGGCTTTGGTAGTGTTCTTTCCAATGTAGTGCAATTGATTTTTTGTCCTTCAGGAGTTTGGTTCCATCTGATGAGCGTAGAGGCTGTATGCCATGGTTTCTTGGTCCGTAGATGACCTTTGTGGCTTTGAAAAATCCCTGAGCATTATGGGTATCTGCCAGGTGTTGGATTTCTTCGGCCTTCTTTGTCCACCAGATGTTCTTGAGTTCTCTTGTCCTTCTTTGGACCTCAGCTTTTGCACTGGCATAGATCTTTTTCTTAGCAGCACAGTTGATGTCTCTCTGCCATGCTTGGAAGGCTTTCCTTTTCTTGTCAATTAGCTGTTGGATCTCGATGTCATTTTCATCAAACCAGTCTTGATGTTTCTTGGCTTGGTATCCAATAGTTTCTTCGCAGGCTTGGATGATGGAGGTCTTCAGTTTGTTCCAATGTTCCTCAACATTTTCTGGGTGTACTGTGGGTAGATGGTCCTTGAGTGCTGTTTGGAGATGGGCTCGTCTGGAGGGCTCCTGAAGGGCTTGGGTGTTCATTTTGCGCCTTGTCTTCCTTCCTTGGAGTCTGCGCTTGGGAGCGATCTTGATAGCCATCGAGGATCGAATTAGCCTGTGGTCAGTCCAGCAGTCGTCAGCACCTGTCATGGCTCTTGTGAGGAGCACGTCACGGCGGTCTCTGGCGCGTGTGATTACATAGTCTAAGAGGTGCCAATGCTTTGACCGGGGGTGCTTCCATGATGTCTTGAACTTGTTTTTCTGGCGGAAGAGCATGTTGGTGATGACAAGGTTGTGCTCCGCACATTTGGTGAGAAGCAGGATGCCATTTGAGTTGCTGTTTCCAACCCCGTCTTTTCCGATGGTCCCTGGCCACAGGTCGAAGTCTCGCCCGACTCTTGCATTGAAGTCCCCCAGGAGGATGATTTTGTCCTCCTTAGGTATCCCGATAGGACGGTGTCCAGCTGACAGTAGAATTT